GTAACTCGTGCCTTTTTTTAAGGAGAGGGCCCTACGCCCCCCAAAACCCCCCAGCAGGTGGAGGGGGTGAGGGAATTTTGGGGGTTGAAGTCCACTCATCTTAAAGTGGCCAAGTTTGGACAACACTGTCTTAGAGGGTTTGCAAAAAGGGAAGACAGGTATCTTTAAAACCCAATTGCCTCCACCTATGGTTTGAGATATATCTGTTTAGCCAGGCCTTTCTTGATTCTCCTGTCTAGTTTTCCATTACCTTCCATAATTATTTATTAATTACATGCTGTTGAATGCTGTTTTTCTATGTTTCATTGAATTGTGTTTATTATGACTTTTTATATAAGCTGTTTATATAAACCTCACCATAAATTGACCTGGAAGTCAATTTGGACTTTCCACTTCCAGTCACTAGCACTTATTTTTCCCTGATCAAAAAAAAAAAAGTCTGAAAACACAGTACACTACAGTTGCCCTAATTCCTTGTGTAGAGTTTTGCCACGTGGGGATCTCTGCAAGGGACCAAAGGGAAATAAAATTCTCCACAAGGACAAGGGAATTCCTCCCCACCTTAGATCCACAGAACCCATCAAGTCCTCACTGAACCTAGAGTTCTGCAGAACCCAGTTTGAAAAAGAAAACCTAGAAGACCTGTCCAAAAATAGCCCAGCTGATAGGTGGTTGGGTCAGAAAAGAGGTATGGAGTGGGGTGAAATTAGGGGAGAGGTCACCCAGTGCATTGAGATGCTTGGTAGACAGTTTTCCAGGCTGCTTGTCAGTTGGGCCAGAAGGGAAAATTTGCAAGACTCTGATCAGTTTTACTCCAGAGAAACTGTGCTGCAGGGAGAGACAGTAGCTGCTAGCAGCCAGCAGCATTCAGAAGTGGAGCAGACACAACGGTGTTAGTGCAGGCAAAATGGAATTGTCTTCCTCCCATAGTATTAACAACAATAAAAAGTACAGCCATCTAAAACCCTTTGTTGGCAGAACTAGCAAACAACCTTTAATGCACTTATTATAATATTTCTCAGTTTAGACTGATTTTTTTTCAAACATGTCTACTGGTCTTTGGACATTTATTTAACAACAAGTCTAGTCATCTTCCAACCAACATACCAGTGAGTATAAGAAACCCGTATAATGTCTGAATGGCACTCTGTAAATCGCAGGTCAGGCGTTACAAGGGCAGATGTCCATGCAGAAGTAACTAGTTTCTGGTTTTTCCTGCAGCCAAAGCCAAAAGGGACATGGAGATAGTGCCCAGTGACTGAAGAGGAGGGAGCATGTGCACGGCAGCCTCACCCACTCAACAGAAGTTAACGTATGCCAGCTACTGACCATATCACCACCAATATTGTGGATGAAGCATCTTAGATCATTTGTACACCAAGATTTGTGTCAGAAGAAGATGAAAAATACTACTTTAACATTGGAACAGCCGGGGAAAAGTTTAGGCTGCCTCCACAATGGACTGGGGATGAGAAAAAGATGGTTCCATGAGAACATGTAATGCCTGACCTGCGATTTACAGAGTGCCATTCAGACATTATACAGGTTTCTTATATTCACTGGTATGTTGGTTGGAAGATGACTAGACTTGTTGTTAAATAAATTTTAGAAACAACTAGTGGGCATCATCATGCTTGCAGTTAGCAAGTCTGAAGATGAGCCCTCTGTTTTAGGCAAGGCAAGTATTTGGTGATGACCAGAAACAGCATCTGCTGGATTAACAGAATCTCCAAAACTCTACAGTCAGTTCAAATGGTTCATACATTTCCATTGTACTGGAGTTCACACCTTAATATGAATACCCAGCATGCTTTACGCTAAATGCACTAGGCTTCCATGCTTCTGTGTTCCAAATAAATGGCATTTTGAAGCTAACTCTCAGTCCACATTCGTACTGCAGCATGGACTATCTTCTAGTTACTGATTTCACAACTCCAGCTGAGCTTTGTTTGGCAAGATACTGGATTTTTATGAGAGGAGAAAGCTATAAATCAATTGTCACCAGAGGACACCATATACGATGTGGCATGTTCATGACATCACCAGCATGCACAGAGCTATTTGCCTATAAAACTTCCAACAAAATATGAACTCTGGAGCAGCAGACATCAGTTGGAGAGATCTTCCTCTCCCTGCTATCTCACAAGTCTGTAAACTTTCGAAAGCCCAAAACATCGTTCCTAAACAATTGTTAAAACTGATGGAAATGGCAGAAAATGATAAACTGACTTGCTTATTAAAAGAAAACTCACACAAATATTACCAGAAGAATGGAAACCATTGATGGACTATTTGCAAAATGGAGGGGCGGTG